GGTACTACTTCTGACCAGTGTTAGTTTATACAACTACTGACCAGTGTTAGTTTATACAACTACTGACCAGTGTTAGTTTATACAACTACTGACCAGTGTTAGTTTATACAACTACTGACCAGTGTTAGTTTATACAACTACTGACCAGTGTTAGTTTATACAACTACTAACCAGTGTTAGTTGATACTACTACTGACCAGTGTTAGTTGATACTACTACTGACCAGTGTTAGTTGGTACAACTGCTGACCAGTGTTAGTTTATACAATTACTGACCAGTTTTAGTTGGTACTACTTCTGACCAGTGTTAGTTGATACTACTACTAACCAGTGTTAGTTGATACTACTACTAACCAGTGTTAGTTGATACTACTACTGACCAGTGTTAGTTGGTACTACTTCTGACCAGTTTTAGTTGATACTACTTTTGACCAGTGTTAGTTGATACTACTACTAACCAGTGTGAGTTGATATTACTACTAATCAGTGTTTAGTTGATATTACTATATTAATTGTAGGAAGAATCCATGAAGAAGGCTAAAGTGAAACGATATGACAATTGGTTAACAGAAGGCATTGTTGTCAAAGTAATTACAAAAAAACTTGGTGAGAAATATTTCAAAAAAAAGGCTGTCATTTTGGTAAGACATTAGTATTATTTGTTTTTTTTCACCTGTTTGAGCATCCATTGCAGCATTTAAGTCTAAGTAAGATTTTAAGTATGAAGTGCAATAATCACAAATAATAAATGCTTTCTTCAGCATTGCACTACCTACTGGTACTCTGTGAAAGGTGCATGTACAAGAAAGCAATATGATACCATATTTACCTACTGTAATATGGTGCCATGTAAACCAATCAGTGAATCCTACTGTTATTGCATCTAGCAAGGCACTCTGTACATTGTTGCAATAAACAAGTAATAACTAGAGCATTATTGAATTACAGGAAGTTAGAGATAAGTACACAGCTGTAGTGAAAATGAACGACTCTGGTAAGAAATTGAAACTTGATCAGACCCATCTAGAGACTGTCATTCCAGCACAGGGTTTGTATTTTATGTAGATGAGCTTTTTACAGACTTTAAGGTATAGAGGGTTTCATCCAAATGCAAATTAATTGTCTACTGGAAACTAAATTTATTTCAATTACATTGTATATATAAGTTTTGCACTTGCAGACTAACCTAAGGGACTTTATAGGTAGGAATTGCACTTGTGGACTAACCTAAGGGACTTTATAGGTAGGGACTGCACTTGAGGACTATTCTAAGGGACTTTATAGGTAGGGACTGCACTTGTGGACTAACCTAAGGGACTTTAAAGGTAGGTTTTGCACTTGCAGACTAACCTAAGGGACTTTATTGGTAGGTTTTGCACTTGTAGACTAACCTAAGGAACTTTATAGGTAGAGACTGCACTTGTGGACTAACCTAAGGGACTTTATAGCTAGGGACTGCACTTGTGGACTAACCTAAGGGACTTTATAGGTAGGGACTGCACTTGCAGACTAACCTAAGGGACTTTATAGGTATGGACTGCACTTGTGGACTAACCTAAGGGACTTTATAGGTAGAGACTGCACTTGTGGACTAACCTAAGGGACTTTATAGGTAGGGACTGCACAGGTAGGGACTGCTCTTGTGGACTAACCTAAGGGACTTTATAGGTAGGGACTGCACTTGCAGACTAACCTAAGGGACTTTATAGGTAGGGACTGCACTTGTGGACTAACCTAAGGGACTTTATAGGTAGGGACTGCACGTGTGGACTAACCTAAGAGACTTTATAGGTAGGGACTGCACTTGTGGACTAACCTAAGGGACTTTATTGGTATGGACTGCACTAAGGGACTTTATAGGTAGGGACTGCACTTGTGGACTAACCTAAGGGACTTTATAGGTAGGGACTGCACTTGCAGACTAACCTAAGGGACTTTATAGGTAGGGACTGCACTTGTGGACTAACCTAAGGGACTTTATAGGTAGAGACTGCACTTGTGGACTAACCTAAGGGACTTTATAGGTAGGGACTGCACTTGAGGACTATTCTAAGGGACTTTATAGGTAAGGACTGCACTTGCAGACTAACCTAAGGGACTTTATAGGTATGGACTGCACTTGTGGACTAACCTAAGGGACTTTTTAGGTAGGGACTGCACTTGTGGACTAACCTAAGGGGCTTTATAGGTATGGACTGCACTTGTGGACTAATTTAAGGGACTTTATAGGTAGAGACTGCACTTGTGGACTAACCTAATGGACTTTATAGGTAGGGACTGCACTAAGAGACTTTATAGGTAGGGACTGCACTTGTGGACTAACCTAAGGATCTTTATAGGTAGGAACTGCACATGTAGACTAACCTAAGGGGCTTTATAGGTAGGGACTGCACTTGCAGACTAACCTAAGGGACTTTATAGGTAGGGACTGCACTTGCGGACTAACCTAAGGGACTTTATAGGTAGAGACTGCACTTGTGGACTAACCTAAAGGACTTTATAGGTAGGGACTGCACATGTGGACTAACCTAAGGAACTTTATAGGTAGAGACTGCACATGTGGACTAACTTAAGGAACTTTATAGGTAAGGACTGCACTTGTGGACTAACCTAAGGGACTTTATATGTAGAGACTACACTTGTGGACTAACCTGAGGGACTTTATAGGTAGAGACTGCACTTGTGGACTAAC